TTGAACAGTATTTGGTTTTAAATATAACACATGTACAGAAAATGTAAACTTAAAGTCTGCTATAAGATGTAACTGTTTTAGAAGTTAGACTTCAAAACTGGTCTTAAATACTTATTTTTGAACATTCCAAGATACTATTTACCCTTTAAGGTTTGTTTTATTTTGTTTTGTGTTTACATAGAAATAAAAACAGATTACCAGGACTGACACTTCTACAGTCTAAAGTAGGACTGAGCTGCAGTTCATTGAAATATGCAAGATTAAATAATGTTTGATTTCTTTTCACATTACCTAGATTTGAAATACCATATGTCTGTGATTCAGAATGTCAATTATAGTATGTATTGACAGGTTTTTTAATGGCAGAGTGGCAATATTAGTCTCTATGAAAAAAAGAAAACCAAACTTTTGTTTCTTGAAAGGAGAAAAATTAAGTAGAAGGAATAGAATAGCCTGGTCCCTCAATAAAAGGGTCATTAATTGGAGAGAGCAGTATTACTTTTCTGACACTTAAAAAGCATTATCCCTAGTATCAAGGATAATGTAATACCATCTACTTTTTATGTATTACAGTCACGGATATATGAACACACATATAAAATACAGACATTGCATGGTGACTAAAGGTGACTGAAGAGCTGAGGAATAAAATCATAGTCTAACTCACAGCACTTACAAGTCACTTACAGATGATCTTTAACAGCTTGTTTAGACCTGAACAAATTTCAGTGAGCATACTAGTAATTTTCAAACAATGTCATAAAAACTCTGGTTGTGTTATTTTTTTTTGTTGAATTAATTTGAGAAAAAGAAACTAGCTGCTTCACTTCACTGACTTTAATACTAGTAATCTTATGGATTGCTTAATACAGATACATGTATAGAAACCTATCATTGATCATTGGTATGTATATGCATATAAAAAACATTTTAACACTGTGAACATTAGAAGTTTTATGATCAGGCATGGGAGAGGTTTATACTCTACAACAGTGATGCTGGTGACCATCTACACAAGGCCTCTTAGTGACGTCAATCAATTGGAGGTAGGAATTTATCAGTGAATTGCTTGACATCCATCATTTCCTGCTGACATGATCTGTGCACCATGCCTTCATAGACTTTGAAGGTTACATTGGATGGATTTACCAATGCTTTTAGTTTTTCAACAGTAAGAGAACCAAACATTAGGGGAACTAAAGGGTCACAATCTCCATGGCACTGGAGAATAGAAATATCTCTATTAGTGCTATTGATAGGACCCTGTGGAAATGAAGCCCGGAGTGAAAGCCAGCAACTGAGCGCAGTGATGCCAGCCAGTTTCTGCTGTGTGGTAAGAGCGGTGTATAAAGATAAAGCGCCTCCCTGAGAAAATCCTCCCAGAATAATTCTGTTAGAGGGAATACCATTCTTCACCTCTTGATCTATCAAAGATTTTACACTTTCTGCTGCCTGTTTAATTCCAGATTCATCCTCATGAGAATCTGGTGAAAGTCCAATAATATCAAACCAAGAAGGCATAGCCATATTCATATTTAATGTAACAGGCATAACAGGAGCATGTGGACAGATGTATTTGATGTGGGAACTTCTGATACCTGCAAAGGCTTCTGCCCATCCGTGCCCAGTATCTCCCAATCCGTGAAGGAAAAAAACCGGGGAGGTGGCCTTTTGGGCAGCAGGCAGGACTGCGCGCAGCGGGGCAGACATGTTGCCTCACATCCACTGGCAGGCGGACAGCGCATCGCAAGTGGAAGGGCTGTTGCTTAGATTATTAGCTGGTGTCACCTTTGTAGATCTCCAGACATTACCCTAGTGCCTGATTTCTCTGTAAACCAGAAATGACTCCCTCTATTATGATATCTCCATTCTTGTTATCATCTGTTCTTCCCCCGACTCAAACTTTCTGCTCCCTCATGTCCTCTGCATCCCGCCTCTTCTCCCCTTCTCATTCTCCTAGCTCCCTCCCCCTCTTCCCAAGCTTGCAAATTGCTCAGCAGATCTGGATCTTAACACTCTCCCCTTCTCCAGGGGACCATGTATGTTTCTCTTAGGGTCCTCGTTTATTAGCTTCTTTGGCACTGTGGATTGTAGGTTGGTAATCCTTTACTCTATGTCTAAAATCCACATATGAGTGAGTACATACCACATTTGTCTTTTTGTGATTGGGTTACCT